AAAGATTCATAATTTGGGTTCTCAAGGGAATGAAACATTACTGCAACTGTATGTTATCCACATAATACAGATCTACAAGTTATCCACCTCTGAAATGTTCACTTACATAACTGGATGGTTTAACAATGTTTCCAGTTGATATGCATGGCCCTACATGTTATCAGTGTCTGTAATATGGCGTAATATTGAAGCCCTAAAAAAAATTGTGCTTCAAAATGATCATGAAGTGCCTCAAAAAAGTAAAAAAAGTTTTTTGAAATTTCAAATTCCAATCATAAATATCTTGATAATCAGACAGGCTATTGGCTTGTTAAAGTCATGGGATTCCTGACTGACCTAAAGATTTATAATTATGATTGCAGCATGAGCTAAAGCCAGGATTTTGTTTACAATCTGAGGCAAAGATACCCAATCCCTTTAAGACTTCTTAAAGATCCACTGCCATGAGGGGCATTCATCAAGATAGTTTGTTCTCCTGAACTGAATGCTTTCCAATCTCTGTTTGACCATGCTCAGAGTGATTCCCGGCCCTTTAACACAAAGGTATATGATCAGTTGCAAATTTGAATTAATGATTCTGATTGGTAGTTAGTTAGCCTTGTTAACAATATGCACATGCATTAATGAATGATCTTGATTGGACATTGCCATTTCGCAATCGATTGCAAACCTTTTTGTTGCGGATCCTGAATGGGGTGTCCCAAGATGTTATTTTGTTGTGATGTGAGATTTGTACTTGCACTAATTTATAATTTTTCCCATTGCAAGCTCAATGTGAATTATGACGTATTGCACATACAGTCAAATTCTTGAACTTTGTGCAGTAACTGCCATGATAGTGATGTATTTACATGTACAGTATAGTATAGTTCTCATATTCAGCTCCCTTGTAAGTATTTTCAAGTATATAACTTTTGAAGTGTATAAGCTGCCAGGCCTTAAATTTCGTCATTTTTAGGGCAAGGCCAGTTTGGCCTTGAGTACCTCATATTTTTAAGGGCACCAAGGCCAAAATATTTTTACAAAAAGGGCATCGAGGCCAAAATATTTTACAAAAAGGGCATCGAGTATGAGGCCAAAAAAATTGATTCTATTTTTGTTAGATGTCATGTGTATTTTATGAAACTTGTGCGGGATCAATTTCCCATGACTTTTAGCACCAGCTTCTTCACAGAATGTATAGAGGTCTACGGTACATACAAACAAGGCGGCGGCCCGCAAGCCTTAGATTTAGCAGCCAGGAGCAAGGGGCAATTTTTTTTTTAAGTTGCCCTTTGCCACGGGAATTTACCAGAGCAAGGGGCAATTTTCCAAAAAACAGATAGGCCCCTTATCTAATCATAAGTTCAAAGAGAGTCTACAAATGTTAATTTCATAATGTGAATAGATCAAACGATCAATTTAATAACTTTTTAATCTTAACAATATGAACAGGAAAGATTGATTAAGAACATCAAACTTGCACATTAAACAGTATTTTAAAGTAACTAAAAATATTGATGAGCAAATGAATAAATCAATTGTCAATTTCACAAACATCGAAAGTCAGAAGGACTTGGCAAGTTTACCGGGCCGGGTATCCCAAATCAAAATCGCACCTCACACACAAACCTTCCGCCACTCTCTCGGTATGGTAGTAGGAGCAAATTTGAAGAAATTATCTTTTTAACTGTTGTATAGAAAGGTCTAGATAGGCCTTGGGTCTAACTAATGAAATAAGATGTTAAAAATGTCCTTATAGATATTCGACAGCTGAAAGTGACACGCTCAGCTCAGTTGCGTAACGTGCATTCACGAAACCAAAATCGTTCCTCGCACACACACTCTCGCCACTTTTGGTGGGAAGCTGTCGGGCTGGAAGTTTGCCAGCGAAACCGATGCACCCTCGGAGATTCGCAGCGCGTAATTTTACCGGGACTCGAAACGTTGGTCTTGGGAAGCTGGCGGGGTAGCTTTTTGAAGCGAGGTCGGCTGGTGGCAAAATGAGAGTAACTACGATCGAGAACATCGTAGGTGTTCTTAACTTATTAATAAGATAATTCTAAATTCTATTTGAGATAAAATAATAAACTAGACCTACAAACAAACCTCGACAGATCTCTAATGACTATTTGAATGCTGTTTATTTCTCCATTCGACGATTTGTTTTCTTGATCCTGGCCTTCGATTTGTACGTACGTACGCGCGTGCGTCAACAGCATGCACCATATGCATATCATGCGATCGCGCATTTTCACGGCACTTGCGCCTTATTAAAGCACTAAATACGAAGCTAGAAGAGAGCTCGTGGGCGGCAGACTGTTCGTGATTCGTGTATTTTTACTGTTCTAATAATTTATGGGCGCATTTTCACGGAAAACACTTGCGCCTTGCCGTCTAGTTCTAGATGATTATGGGCGCAATTGGTGGTTTTATGTGCGCAAATTTAAAAAAAAAGGGCACGTCCAGTTGGAAAAAAAGGCATGTCGGCCAGTTTGAAAAAAAAGGGCACGGCCTTTTTGGCCGTGAATTTATCTTTTTTTGGGAGGGCACCGCGGCCAGTCATAGGGGCATCGACGGCCTGGCCGTCGATGGCCGTCGATTAATTTAAGGCCTGAGCTGCACATATTCATGTAGGCCTGTAGTTGATCATTTCATGCTGCACCATTTCCTTACTCAGTGCAGTTAGTTTGTATGTTTAATACCCATGGTGAATTGTTGAGGAAAAAAATGAAAGGTTTCAGTCTGGAGTTTAAGACTACTGGCCTATCAGGAGAATAGATTGCATCTGGCATTGTGGTTTTGTTTTATTCCGTCTGTCATCAACAATCATTATAAATGCGTTCAGTAGGAAAGGTTTGTTCCCAAGCAGTAAATGCCTCTCAATATTTCCATATTTTCATATTGTTTCCTTGAATGGGAATAGTGGGAGATATGCCCAGGTCATATCAAGTGATTTGGTCAAAAATTGGGTATTTTATATATCTTAAAGCTAATACAAAGTTTTGGTATGGGGTCATGAATTTGGTTCAAAAGAACATATTGGAAGCATATGCGATTTTACAATATTCAATGATTGTTGTTGCGGTTGAAATCGAGTCTAAAGCAATGAAATTGTAAATAACAAACTCTTTATGTTGTATAGCTCCCTCTAAAGACCGACATTACTTTAGCTTTAAAACACTATTTCTTGACTACAATGGACCAATTTGCTATTCCTGTTTGAAAATTATATCAGAACTGCATATTCTGAGGTTTTCATGGTTGCAGCTACCATGGAAAGGCCTTAGGCGCTACCGTATTTGAAATATTTGAAATTTACAGGGAGCACAGGTAAATTTTGATTATTCAATTTGCTCGAAAGCAGAAGAGTTTTAGGGGCTAAATTTTCTGGTGTGTATAATGCATCCACAGGAGCATTCCAATATTTTAAAATTTTAAGGAATTACTCTCCATCCACTTTTCAAAATTTCTCGAAACTTTGCATTACCTTTAAGTTCTGATCTTTATGTTTCTCTTATTTTTCTGCTTCTATTAAAACTAACTAAATATCAGGGTGGACTTCCCCTTTAAAGAGAAGGCTGAGATCTGAGAAGGTTGAGTTCTCGAGAGAGGTGACAAATAATTTGAGAGCATTATCATTGCATTAATATGCAAGTGTGGAAGAACATAAGATCAAAAATGTTCTCTGAAAAGCATGGCTCTTCAAATGCCTTAATATTCTAAATATGACATGTACCATCTTAAAAATCGGACAGATTTTTTATGCCATGTGTTTGTGAAGTTCCATAGATATCTTTCTGTGTACAGTGCTTGTAACTCTATCAAGACTGGGCCAAATTTCTTATCATTTTGATAATTCCAGAACCTTGCAGTACACACCAATGCTAGATGATCAACCTTTTCTGATCGAATCCACAACGTTTCTTTCACAATGCAATCGCATGACTATAACTCAACTTTATCTTTTAACCCCCTTTTAGGATTTTTATTCCTTTACTTTACGACCAGTATGAAAGAGGAAGAGGTACATGTACAGAGAGAGAGAGAGAGAGAGAAAGAGAGAGAAAAAGAGAGAGAAAGAGAGAGAAAGAGAGAGAGACCACAGGCATGTAAATATAGCATGCATGGTTTAGCAGCTCAGTGTCAAGGCAAATGGGTCCATTGATGAAAGAACAAAGATTCCACTGCTTTTTATTCAACCTCACTTATGACAAAGCGTGAGCAAACATTGATTGTGGTTGCATTGTAAAGCAATAACATAAATTTGACTGAGCTAACCCAGTAATCAATGAGTTGATTCAACAATAGAAGGAGTTCCCTCAAAGGTTGAGGCTACCTGAGTCACATAAAAATACAGTTTTGAAGTAGCAAGTGGACTATGATCTACTGTGTTCCTGCTACCTGTGAAAAATGTGTAGTGCCTGAAAAGATACAATGCTCGTGGATCATGCATCTTGGAAAGTTAATCTCTTGTGCAAGAAAGGAAACTCATTGAGGAAAATATTGGAGTTATAAAGTGATTTAACAAAGTACATATCTTGAATACTGTGTTGATTTTTTCATGCAAATATTCTCTTCTTGTGTTTTGTGGTTGATGTTTGATTGAACCCAACAATGTTTTGAAGTTGTACAGGTAAAGTGCATATCGGTATTGCTTTTTTTGTGCATCACTTCTTGTACATTGATGTTATCGCAGGCTGAAGCTTACATTCTTGATGATGTAATTTTATGACATTTTTCTTGTCATCTTCTGGTTTTGTAAAGCACATAAATCTGACATGTAAGAGAAAAACACACTTTGAAAGCTTATTCAGGTGACCTAAATTTTGCCAGATGTACTGGTACACAGAAGAATTGTAATTTGTTTGTTTATCAAATAATCACTTGTTGTATGTAACATATGGTTTAGTAGTATTGAATCATTGTGATAAATATCCTTATCCTTGTATACTGTAGATAGAATTGTCTATATTGATAGCTAACCAAGTGTTATTTGATTGTTCTTTATTCACTTGAAGGTGCAGACTAGAGGTTCAACCATGGCGGAGGGGGATGGGGTGGACGACACTGTCTATGCTGTGAGGGTTCACCCCGGTTCCGTTGATCCTGACAGGCATTACGTAGTCATCCAGGCCACCAAGCAGACTAGTACCACAGAGCTTTTAGAAGCATTGTGCTGTAAGCTCGCCCTTTCCAAACCTGAGGAATACTGTCTATCTGAGGTCTGCCAAGATTCAGGACAGAGCTGCAAGGAGCGCCGGCTTGGTCTGGTCGAGTTTCCTGTCAAAGTGCAATTACTCTGGCCAAAGATTGTGGTGGACAGTAAAGTTGGTGACTCCACTGATTCAGGCACCTTCCAGACAAACTATCGTTTCTTCTTACGTGGCATAAACGAGACTCCAGGAGCACTCCCAGACATGTCTGACATGAAGAGTATAGACTCCTTTGTGAGCGGGTACTTCCTGCAACCCTCTGCATCTGGTGACTGCCATGACCTATGCAAACTGCCCGATCTCAATGAAAAAACACTCCTGGACAACCTGTCAGCAAGGTTCCGCAAGGGCAAGATCTACACATATGTTGGATCTATACTAATAGCATTGAACCCATTCAAGTTCTTCCCTATCTACAACCCAAAGTATGTCAACTTGTATCAGAACCACAGATTTGGGGAGCTTCCCCCGCACATCTTTGCAATTGCAGATGCAGCGTTTCATACTATGCTCCAGGAGAAACAGAATCAATGTATTGTGATATCAGGAGAGAGTGGATCAGGGAAGACAGAGAGTACTACATTGTTGATACATCATCTGACAGCACTCAGCCAGAAAGGATATGCCAGTGGTGTAGAACAGACTCTTCTAGGAGCAGGCCCTGTGCTAGAGGTATTATAATTAATGATGTCCTTATTCTTAAATGCAGAATAAGTTTAAACTGGCTAAACTTAGCTCACTGTTTATGGATTGCCAAAACCTCCATAGAATTACCTGTAATTCTGTGACAAAATTATGAAATGATTGTAAAAGTAATCATTAAATGTATCAGAGAATTAAATTTCATTTCATGTTATATTTTCTGTTTTTTTTCTTCATTTATTTACAAAATTATGTTTATTCATATACTGTAAACGCTGTTACTTTCGCTTGATTAATTCTTCGCGCTGAGTGACCCCAAAACATTTTCCCCTGGTTCTTGAATTTGATTTGCATGCAATTCAGCCTGTTCAGAACACGCATACGAAGTCATGCATATATTTTTGCGAGTTCTAAAATTGGCGCTTACCGATCTTAGCGCAAAATTCTGAAAAATAATGTACCACAAATATTTCTACTTTTACAGTAGGGGAGAGATTGACATAACTCAATGGGTATACAGTGTACCACAAAATATTGTTGATTAGGCAGCCTGAGCCATGAGCATATAATTAGAATCTGCACAATATACAGACCATCACATAGCGAGTGAGGTACAACCTGATACATCCGCCACTGCTCCCTCCCCAGCCCCCCCCCCTACCTTCTAGTTTTCTGAACACAGGACAATGCACAGTTTTTTTTTTTTATTGTTATTTCGATCTGTGTTTCATGTTTCTGTTCTGATTTGGGCTTTTAAAAAAAATCATCTAAACACAGCCTGAGTTAATGGATCGGGAGACATCATTACCTAGTAATGTTGATGACTCATAACATACAGTTTAATGTATTGTCTGATGCCTCCATCCTGGAAATGATATACCTCCTTATCTCTTTAGTAGATGGAATTATGGGTGATCACTCAATATTATTGCTCTAGTCATTTGGGAAAATATGTATTTGTGTTTATTGCAGTTATACCCTGTATCTAATGATACATACATGTACATTGTATATTGAAAGTAATATGTCAACTCCATTCTTAGTAGTTATGCATCAACTCAGTAGAAAAGAAGAAGGGTTTGATATGAAAGTAAAATGAGTTTAATATCAAGAAACAGGCTAGTCACTTCTACATAAGTGCTAGAAGTTGTTTTTTCAAGATTATGAATCAATCAATATTTGTATACTGTTTTCAAAGTCCTTGTTAAATTTGTTAATGTGGACTCCAAATATGGGACATTAACTATTGAAACATAACATATACATGGCATGAAAATAGGGATTTTTTGTGTGTACATTTACTTGCAATCCCATTTGCAAATATAGTACATGTACAGTAGGCTTAAAATCGGTTTCAAAAACATACCTAGAATTGTAAATACTAGTCACTTAGTGACTGATTTGTTCTTCTTCTCATAACTTTACAATGTGTAGTGTACTGTACAGTATACATGTATGAGCCAGCATTGCAATTTACCTGTATTTTGGCATGTCTATAACAAGGAGTATTCAATTAATTAGGAATTCAGGCTGGTATTATATATTTATTGGGTGGTTATTGGCATTCATCAATTATTTGGATTAAAGTGGAAGAATGACCTAAATTTTCCTCCATTTGTCAATTTCCTGAATTGTGAATTGACAAAGACATCATACAGCATGCAATGAAACAAGATTTATTCTCCATGTCCTTCAGGCATTGATGAATGTTCAACAGTGGCAAATATTGCCAAATCTATGATTAGAAAAATGTCTACAAAAGCATTCTAATACCTTCAACCAAAACACAAACAATTATTTGGATCTGTAATATCATTCAATAAGTAGTATTTCATTACAAGAAATGGGTAGGCTGTGCCCAAAATAGGGAAGAAAATGTCTATTGCAAGCAAATAAATTGATTTGCACTGTCATACTTGGGTAGCGTTGCTGTTGTCACTGTGAGACTATTTTGAGAAAATGGGCTCAAACTCAAATATTTTCTCCAAGACTGCTTGGAACCATCTCATCTTGTTTGCTAGAGCATTCATTCTGCCTCTAAACGTAGCAAGAATTAACATTGGGAGGGAAAGGCAAAGAGAAGAAGAAAACCAAGGTTGTCAACCCTCCTGCATTTGGAGGGAGTCTCACACCACCAAGCTCATTCCCCCGCTGTCTCACTAGCTCGTAGCGGGAAACTCCCGGCACCACGCCATTTACTCCCGCTTCGATGTAGAATCTTTGGGTTTATGAAAAAACCTCCCGCCAAACATGGTAACCACAGTTTACCCTTTTTTGCTCAAAGGGGGGAGGGGGGGGGGGTGGGGTGGGTTGTGAGCACTATAAATAAAATCCCTTTTTAAAAATATTTTATTTAACTCATTACCCCCCCCCCCCCCCCAAGATATCTTGGGCTAGTTTACAAAATAGCCCGCTATTTGTCCAGTTCGTCTTCACCAGCCTGAAGACTCGCACTATGCGCAAAGACTGAGTAAATTTCTCGAGCTCGAAACTCAAGTAAGCTGATGATGACGCGATTTGTAACTTCTTGCTAATTCCCTGAATCATTAATAGCGGGCTATTCGGCCAACTCGTGCTGATGGAGACAGGCTTCTAGTGAATGTTTTTGTTTCTTGTTTCAATGGGATTAGAATTTTTAGATGCACCCAATTTATTTTGGAGTATTTTTTCCAGGTTTATTTGTAAAGCTGAAGGTGATGAGACAAAAAGATACATATTTACAACAATAAATAAATGTATCTACCTATTATTGCTTAGTCCTCTAGACAAGCAAGCTATATTTTAATATTTTTGAATAAATGAGTTAGAATTGTTCCCCTTTCATATATTTTTCCCTGAATATAATTTTTACCATCTTAGTTATGATTTTTCCCCTTTTAAAAAGTAAAGGTTTTGTTATTGAATTGAGAGGTCTTTCCAACTAGAACTTGATACAGGATACATGTACAAGTTTGTCTGGTACATCACATTATCAAGAAAATGGCTGCGCCATGTACCAAGAATATCTTTGTTTATACATTATACCTATTACCTGTGTTGCATTTTGTAAGGAATATTGTATATCAATAAGCAGGAATAAAATCTCATATTTCAGCAGACCTACACTCCTAAACTTATTTTTTTAGGTTGAGGTTTCCTTCCAGGGATTTGATATATGAAGAATTTTTTTTCAATGAAAAAAGTTAATGTGGTACATGTAACTTGTGGTATCTTTATTTTGTGTTATTAGACTTCTGGAAGTCGGCATGACTCAGAATATTTTGTTTCACCGTTAATGATTTTTTTTGGTGTTATTTGAAGTCTAAATAATTATGATTCTATAATAGAGCCCTCTGATGAATATAATACATGTTCAGTTTTGTGTATATTCATACGCTAATTGTAATACTCTTTATTTTTTTTACCCCTACATCATCAGGCATTTGGGAATGCAAAAACAGTTGTAAACAACAACAGCAGTCGCTTTGGGAAATTCATACAAATCAACTACAGAGAAAATGGCACTGTTCATGGGTAAGATAACCATCTACATATATTCTATTTTTCTCTGATGAATATTAATATTGTGTATCACAATGTTTCTAACTTAAATGTTTCCAGATGCTTTCATTTTTCTCCACTCATACATTTACAATGCTGTTTACATGTACATGTAGTATAACATTATCTGAAAGTTCATCTGAGCCTAAAAGCTTTTTGTTTGATAAGATGGAGAGCATATAACTTATGGTGATTCAAGTGCATGTTTATATGGAAATATGGTCAAGTTGGTACATGTACATGCAATGGGCCTTGTGTTCATAATATGCAAATTTGTGTTCATGATATGCAAATTTGTGTTCATGATATGCAAATTTGTATTATACTTAAATTTTTGTAGAAGACTAAACGTTAAAACACCTACATGTTGTATGTCTTGCACTTTTATATTGACAAGCAGAATAGGCACTAGATTATAGAAATACAAATTAAACATGTACTGCTGAAACATGTCCATTTTATATCTTAGAATATCATTAGTGGTGAATTTTTTTTTTTACTCAAGTATGTATTATATTAATGCATACAGTATGTATATATTAACAGTCATTTATGTTTTTCTTCACTCATACCTTTTCATGAATTTAATTTGTGCCTTTAAGTTTGAGTGTATTCATCTGTTTAATGATAAAGTACATCTCAACTTCTAAGAGCCTTTCTAGCTTACATACGTTAATAGAAGTATTGTGAATGCAATATTTTTTCCAGACATATATTTGTGCCCTTTATTATTTGCAAAGCAAACTACCAGTAATCTGTGTTGTCATCAGAAAATAAAGCTAAAATAGCAATTTCACTGTTTATTAACAAGCATGTGATTCACAATAATGTATTTAATAGTTACCCTAAACCCATGTTCCTTCCTCCTTCTACTATTAGATATTATTGTCCTTATTTAGTTGAGCGATTTTGCATTTTTAATTTTTAAGGTTCAAGTCTATATCTGAAGTACTTGTTAGATAGTATTCTCCTGCATATTTTACGTTACAAATACTTCAATTTAGGAATACCTTCATTGAATCCAGGAAAGTTATGAATTTATTTTCTGAACTTCCAATTTGTTTAGATTATACTCTCACAAACTACCCGAACTGTCAAATTTGTAATCTTTATACCTACATGAATACCTATAAGATTAATTAAATTTTAAGAGGCTATCGGAATTTTTTTTTTCTTCTTTGAAACTACTTTTAAAAGATAGCTTTATTTTGTGAAATGTCATGCATGCGATATGAAACAAATCATATAACCTGTGGAAAGGAATGGGTATAAAAAAAGGAAATTAATGAGATAAAAATATATAAAGCAATCAATAAATAGTGAGGCAGTGACGTCACAACTGATAACCAAATTGGCAATTTGTGTAATGATTTTCTAAGTTCCATTGTTGTTCATACTTTTAATTTTTTTTATAACTTTTGTATTAGTTATCTGATTTTACTCAATTTTCTTTGCTTTGTTTCTCTTGTTTTTCTGCATCTATTAAAAGCAAATTATTTTTGGAGTAGACTTAGTCTTTAAAGTCTAACAGGCAACAAATCCTGAGAAAATTCTCAAACCACAAAGATATTTATGGTTTTCTTTGAAGGAGTCACTGTGCAACACCCTCTAACAGTGATTAACAGTAAATTCTCCCAACTGTTTTTTTCCCTTGAAAATAAGACATGAGACAGGCTTTTAGAAATCTTTCAAATGTCTGGAATAGTATATATATATAGCGCCAATTCATTGCTTTGTGATGATTTACATTCACCTAAAATGTAATTAAATTGTAATACTGTAATATAGTTGGGAGAATTAAGGAATCGATCAGATCAGTTTTTCCAATTTTTATCATGAATAATGGTCTGTTTTCACTCTAACTTTCAGATACAAATCTTTAATTGCACAGTACATCTAGCATTTAAGTCACTAAATAATAATAATATTTAATTTTTATATAGCGCTTAATACATATGTCTCTAAGCACTTTACAAATATACTAATACCCCGGTCATTGGATTCAGTGCTTGCCCGCACACACTGTGTGCACATTCACAATCTCCACTCCCTGGGGAGCATTCCAGCCGGGCGTTACTTGACGCTCACAAGCTGTTTGACCAACAATGACGGCCGCATCCTACCGGGTACCCATTTGACACCTGGGTGGAGAGTAGCAAGTGCAGGTTAATATCAGCCCTCGCACCATTTTCTCTCATCTGAACAATGTTACAAGTCCCTTTAAAGAAAATGAAACAAGCTTCAGATTATCTTTGAAAATGACTTCAACCCCGACAAATTCTAGCATTCATCACAAATGGGTTACAATTTGCAGAAAATGGTTTGAATGGTTCTAGCACAGATGAAGAAGGATTAATTTGAAAGGAAATGACATACATAATTGGATAAGGCAAAATTGTAGTCCTGAATGTAATAGACAGGCATAGACTAAGAGATGTCGCTAGAGGGTTTGGGGAGGGGGGGGGGGGGGGGGAGGAGGCTGATGTAACACCTCATTTAAATTTTAGGAGCCTTGTTGCCAAATCAGAAATATAGCCTATTTCAAATCTTTCTTGTTGGAAAAAGTTTTGGATCACTGGTCAGCAAACTGGAAAATCATATTTTTTCCCTCATAAGCAAATTTGAGGACTTAAACAAAATATTAAAAAAAATTATTGAAAAAAAGAGCCTTGTTGCCATATCAGGAATATTTATAGCCTATTTAAAATGTGATGGCATATTGAAAAATCTTTGTTTTTGTTCCCTTCTCAATACATTGAAAATATGAGGACTTAAAATTAAATACAAATTTTTATTGCAATATTATCAACTGTCTTGGTTGCAAATATGGCAACCCCCCCCCCCCCAGCATTCAACATAGGGTGCGTTTATTGTGCTTTGCCACTCAGAATTAGCGTTTCTGTACATATTGCACCCCACTATACAAACAATCTCGAGATAGTGAAGACAGGCCTATTGTATGGTCTCCTAGTCTCTCCCTGCTTATTAATACCGGTAGGCTATTTCTAAAATATCACCGAAAACCAATGGTACTTTCTTATTTATTCTGTGAGAATTCTATTTACTCTTGTTTAAAAACTAAAACTTGATCTTTTATTTTTATTTTTTAAAAGTATGGCTAAAGCATGTATGAAATATGTTTTATTTTTTATGCCCTCTCCAGATGCTCAATAAACACAGATAATGTTAAGAGTGATGGGTAAGCTGCACACCCTTGTGTGTGGAATGGAATGCACCATGTTCATAATAACCAGCATGGCTTTTACCATGTGAGGACTAGAGAATAAGGGGGGGGGGGGGGTAGAGAGAGATAGCAAGAAAGAGAGAGGCAGAGAGGTAGAGAGAGAGAAAGATGAATTGATCAAAACAATTCTTTAAATAACTTGTCAGAATTAAAACATGTGTGTTATGGTTATAATCATTTCTTTGCAACTGATATTTGTACTGATATATGCTGTTTAAATTTGATGTGGTAATTTATCATAGATGTATTTCATCCTGCTTGCAATTAGATACTTTATTCAGAAAATGCTCTGCTTGCTGAAGAAGAATGTGATGCAGAAAATGGGGTTGAACTTTGAAGTTTGTTATTTGTCTAGATTGCCTCATTTACATTGTACACGGTATGTGTTTCATTCTAATGTAATGTTTGTCTAAAGCATGCATTAATAACTTGAATTTGACATGATCTGCCATAATGACTGCCAAGACTTATATGTCAGCATTACTTCCTTGATTTATTAACTACCGTTGTTGATTATGGTATTGTTTAAAATGTCATGTTGCAAGATGTAAGTTCCAGCAGTCCAATCCAGATTTTAAAGTATTCACATGACATCCTTTGTAAATGTGAAGAAAAATGAAGAAAGCAGAGAAGAACAACATCCTTGCATCACATTTAAAGAAATAGACATCCAAGTTGATGTTTCAAAGTATTTGCATTTTAGGCGAATGTGTGGTTTAATATTGCCCACTAATTGTGATTTATTATTTTTATTAGCATTTTGAGATTGTTGATGTTTTACATAAGTTTGCATAATAAATATGTAAAAGCAAAAACAAACGAATGTTTTTATATTACTGTTGCACATTCAGTCATTGCAGAATACAAGAACTGTATAAAGACGTATCAGAGTGATATTTCTCCAAATGTATTTTAACAATTTAGTTTACCACAAAAACCTACAAACATCGCCATGTATATGTATTCACATGTATATCAATCTATCAAATCCGTGTTCATTAAGATATGTTATCTGCTGAGAGCCAGAAGGTCATTAATGTGTAGGCCTATTACTGTACTGTACTTTGATAGCAGATTCAATGCCCTCTTGACTTTACAATGGATTTTTGTCTATTTTATTCAGATATGTAACCATTTTCTAGCAATTAAGACTATGTGTATATCATATGAAGAAGGTGGGTACCTTATTGCATAGAAAGTAGAATTCCAAAGTTACTGTCACTTGGCCATACCCTGACGTAATTAAGACATCTCTATGTTACCGATGTGAGCCTCCTCCACTCCCATGGTTAGTTCCTTGGAATAACTATGAGGGAGAGAGAGACAGAGAGAGATGTATTAAGATGATTTTTGTATTTTAAAGTGAGGAAGAGGTGTGAAAAAAAGAATTAATTGGAAAATAATTTCAGGCGAGTATACAGGTATCTGATACAAGTATCATAATCATCGATGACCAACTAGAATGAAACAAATATACTCATTTATTTTGTACAAAAGGCAAATTAGTGGATGTTTTTTCTCAGGAAAAGGGAAAGTTTAATGTAGATGATACCATTTTGATCCTATTCTACCAGACTTTGGAGAGTTCTAATACAGTGTAATAATTTTAGAGTTATTTTATTTTATTACAACCATCCTGATGAAACTCGTTCATGTTAGTTTACCTCAGACTGACTTGATACTATTGTTAATTGTACTATGTGTACATGTGCATGTAATGTACCTTTAA